AATGTATCAACCATTGTTATTCTCCTATTATCTTTTGAAATTTTATTTTATTTTTTTGGTCTATAAAATAAAGGTTTTTAAAAATGGAGACTGTATACATGCTTAAGCTCATTCTCCCTATACACAGTTTTATACCAATATGCTAGTAATTAGGATAACATGGTAGTATAAGAAATTCCAACGCATAAGTGAAAAAAAAAATCCTAACTTTTTTATGGTCATTTTAGTTGGAAACATAGTTTTAGGAGAAGAAACTCCAAAGTATCTTCAAGAAAACTAGAACAACCTTTAAGAAGGAACTGCAAAAATGAACCCTGTATTCTCATTTTACTTACTTTCCTGAAGGTTGTAACAGTGCTCCATCCTTGGTCCACGTGTACGTGACCTCGCTGGGGTTAACAAGGTCACAGAGGATATCAATGACCTCTGTCCTTTTTGTAATGTATACTGTGTTTCCAATCCTTGCATTGATTGTTTTATTGAATGAAACAGAAGGGGGCTGGCTTTGCCTCAGGAGAACAGGTCCTTTGGGTTTAAATGTCAGCCGGCCCGGACCTTTTACACTTGTGCTTTGGGGCACACTCCCTGTCTGGCCTCTGAATGGAGCAGAGGGTGGCAGCTCCTCCTGGATACCCCTCCACTGTGGGGGCGTCGGCTGCACCTTCACCAACGCCAACTCAGCCACCAGCTGATAAATCACCTGCGAGGCGAGATCTTCGCTCACCTCCCCGGCCTCCATGAGCTGGCTCATGCTTCTTATCAGCTCCTCAAACTGCACTGTATCCATACTGTAAGCTCCCTGCTTGATGGCTGCTTCAAACTGCTTATTCTTAAACTCCCAGGAGTTGGTGTTACCTGCAGGATTGCTGCAGTGGCCAAACAGAGCTCTCAAGAAAGGCTGGTTATTAATTTGACCATCAGGCAGATAAAGTTCATTTTTACTCCTCCACATCTGCCGCATTTTATGCCAAGTAGCTCCCAAGCTATTGGCCCCAGGGTGGTCCGTCCCAGGCTGTTCCTTCCCATGCTGTCTGAGGGCTGGGTGTGCAATAAGCCGGTTGTCTGTCCCAATTAGCTTGAGGACAACTGTGTCCTGTGCGGAGCCTGCGATGCACCGATACACACCAATGTCAGGGGCTGCGAGGCTGTGGATTTTTAGCGAGCCCGACTTAGTGATGCTGAGTCGTTTGGAGTTCTGCAGACATTGACTATCCTTCTCCCACCGGATCAGGGATCTCTGGAAGCGTCGCACTGGGCATTTAATGATCACAGAGGTGTTGGGAAGCAAGTAGGCTCTGCTACCAATGGTCAGGTTGATCCGCTTCTCCACCCTGGTCTGAATGTAGACTCTCTGCACACTGAGAATCTGAGGTCCTGGCTCAGCTACTTTTGTCTTTGTCTGAACTTTCATTTCTGCAAGAAAAAATAAAGATAAAAAGATGGAAAAGAAGTCTCAGGAATAAAAGGTTTTGGACAGTACTTTTCTAAGGATGACATAAGCATACAAATGTATCTCTTTTTACTCTTAAAACAATTGAGTGGTAAAACATGAACAACATTATATATGCATACATTGGAGTAACTGTCACAGCTGTATATTACTCTAGCAGCAATGACCGCAAGTTTGAATGAGTTGCATGAAAATATGTAAATTATTTTATAAAAACCCTGGTGTGGGGAGCCATGAGGTTACATGGCTTAACGAAACAGAAAGAATGGTTGCTTCTGCATGTGAGAAATATTTGTTCTATGCCAAGCTCATATGGTGGCCTTATAATTGCCCAGCTTCTGGATATAGGTTTCCCTCAGCAGAATGTTGGTCTACTATGTTGGGCCTCCACGATCTGGCAGGATGGCCTTCGGGAGCTAACCTAGCTTGGAGCCATGAGTACCCCATATCTCAAGGAGAAAGCAAGGGCATAATGTGAATGAATGCACTTGAAGGGTCTGAAAAGAGGGATGAAGTTGACCAACTGCAGAATATTAACCCCAATATGCCATTTCACCTAGCATGAGGGTCTGAGGAAGCAATGTCAAACTGTTATCAGAAAAGAAAAGGTAGTACGGGCACTTGGAACCCAGACACTTCTAAGTAGACATCTTTTCTCTGCCACTTGGACAGTCATTTAACCTCTCTGAGCATCAGTTTTCTGACCTATAAAGTGTGGATAATGCTAGTACTTTCACCAGAGGAATGTGGAAATTTAATCAGATTGTTTCTCTGAAATGTGCACAGCAACATATGCAAAATGAGCTCTCATGTATGATAACAGTGACCCTGGCCAGGTGACCATAGAAGGTCCAGACAAGAGGCAGCAGACAATCAGAGATGGAGCAACCTTCACTTCTTCCTGGGCACAGACTCTAGTTAATAGGCTGGGCCCAAAGAGGATGCACCTTAGATCCTGTATCCCCAGCAGCCATCTCCCTGATTCACTTATGGGAGAGGGCTTCCTGTATTCTGACATGATTCTGAGGGAATGAGCACTTCGACGTGTGTGCAGGGGTCTGGATCCTCTTTGACAGTGCATTTTGTTCCCCAGGCAGATAATGGGATGGGGTCTAGAAAGCTTGGAGGCATCAGTGAGTGGTAAGAGAGCCTGGATTCACACTGTAAGTATTGCTAGATTTAGAAGGTCCTAAAATGAAGCCTCCTTATCCTAAAGAACCTCACTCAGGGTTCCTCATGGTATAAACACTGGCAGGAACAGAATGGGAGAAAAGGCAGTGAGGTACACTTCGACGGCCTTCTTAGGCTCATGGCACTAAATACAGCACATTTGCTGGTACCCCGGTTTTCAAGAATAAATCCTAGAGTATTCCAGGTACATCATGCACCCTTTCCTCTCTGGCTGCCTGCCGAGGTTTAGAGGTTCAGAAAAGCAACAGACATAGACCCATACTTTCTTTGGGAGAGAAAGTAGCTGATGAAGGACAGGCATGATAAATTTACATGCTAATTTCATAAAGATGAAATTGGTAGTTCAGGCCTATGGACCTGAAGTTATATTACAAAGTTACAGTGATTAAACAGCACAGCAGTGGCCCAAAGTAGACATGAGGATCAGTGGAACAGAACAGATGTCTTGGCTACTTTTCTCTCATTGCTGAGACAAAATACCTGCCACCCAAAATGAAGGAAGATAAGATTTATTTAGCTTGCAGTTTGTGAAGCTGGTTCCAAGGCAGGGTAGCATGTGGCAGAGGCCAACACTTCATGGTGGCAGAAAACAGCAAAAGCAACAACACAAGGGGGACAGCAAGCCTCTTTTCCTTCCTTATAGTGTATGCTGATTAGCTGCCTACGCCCACACCACCTCTGTGCCCTCTTCTTCCACAAACTGAGGCTATTTACAAAGTAATAACCCTAGCTCCCTGCTGAATCCCTTAGTTGAACTTTTAAACTTCTCAAGCTGACACAGTGAACAACATCCTAGAGCCCTAAAGACACGTCCTTGTCACCCCAGAATGTAGAACTACTGAGTTACTTAGTTAAGCTTCTAGACTCAAGTTGACACAATGTATCTATCAATCATAACAATAGCAAATATAGAAAAAACCCCAAGCACATCCAGCTATCTGATTTTTGACAAAGGGACCAAAAACATAAGCTGGAAGAAAGACAGCCTCTTTAACAAATGGTGCTGGAAAAACTGGATATCCACATGCAGAAGATTGAATCTAGACCTATGTCACTCACCATGTACTAAACTAAAATCAAAATGGACCAAGGATCTAAATGTCAAAGCAGAAACACTTAACCTGCTGAAAGATAGGTAAAACTCTTGAAGACATAGGTGTAGGCAAGAACTTTCTGAATAGAACCCAAAATGAACAAAAAATAACTTCAAGAATAAAAAAATGGGATCACATCAGATTAAAAAGTTTCTTCACAGTAAAAGGGACAACCAACAGAGTGAAGAGACAACCAACAGCATGGGGGAAAATGTTGCCAGTGAACTGAAAAAATAGCCCCCCAAATGCAATACAAAATGGTAAATTGAAATGAATGGACACTTTCAGAAGTATAAATGGCTAATACATAACTGAAAAATGTTCAACATCTCAGACCATTAGAGAAATGCAAAGTAAAACCACATTTAGATTTCATCTTAGTGCAGAAGAATGCCTATCATCAAAAAATTTAAAAAAAAAAAAAAAACAAATGCTTGAGAGGCTGTGAGGGAAAACAAACCCCCTGCATTATTGGTGGAAATGTAAACTAGTAAAACCATTATGGAAATCAATATGGAGACTTCTCCAAAACCTAGAAGTAGAAATTCCACTTGGCCTAGCCATTCCTCTTCTAGGTATATTCCTAAAAGAGTTAAAGACATTTTACATTGAAACATAGTGTCTTAGTTACTATTCTCATTGCTGAGATGAAACACCAGACACCAAGTTAAAGGGGCTGGCTCCAAAGCAGGGCAGGATGGCAGTGAGACATCCCAGAGGAGAAACAGTCCATGGTATGGCAAGCAGAAAGCAGCGAGGAGGAGGAGCAGCAGCAGAGGCAGCAGCAGAAGCAGCAGCAGAAGCAGCAGCAGAAGCAAGCCTGCCTTTCTTTTTTATCCCATCCAGGGTAAAAATCTTTTGGATGGTGCCACCCAAACCCAGGGTGGGGCTTCCATTTTCAGTAAATCCATTCAGCCACACCCAAAACTAAGCAAATTCTCAAGTGTGGACTAATTTAGTATCACACACCCCGAATCCCAGTATCACATGCCCTAGATCTAGCCAACTCCAAAATGCCTCATCTATGAGTGCATGAAGCTTTGGGGAGACATCTAGATACAAGCCAGAACACATGGCTATCCATGTTTATAGCAGTACAATCCATAGGAGCTAAATATTGGAAGTGGCCTATATGTCCATCAAAAGATGAATGTATAAAGAAAGTGTGTTATTTGTGCACAGTGGAATAGTACTCTGCTATACAGGAGGAGATAAACTTGAGTCATTTGTAGAAACCTGGATGCACTTTGAGACCATGATGTTAGGCAAAATAAATCAGATGCACATGTTTAAATATCACATAGTTTCTCTTGTATGAGAAACCCAAAATATAAATAAAGGGCAGTATAAAAGAAATGTAATAGGGAGATACATCTTTTGCAAAAGGGAAGGGAACCAAGAGATGGAGGGAAGAGGGAGGGAGGAGATGAAAAAAGAACTAAGATGTGTTAGATACATGTACCAACTCCCCATGAGGAATGTGATCATTATGTACTCCAAACATGTACTAATAAAAAACTAAACATTAAAAAGATTCATAAAAAGTTGAACCCTCCCCCCCAACAATACAAAGTCAGACACTGCATCTATGTAACTGGATGATGTGTGGAGAGAGATGGTTTCAGAACAATTGCAGGTGAGGTCAAAGCCTGAACATGCCTGCTCTTACAGGATGGTGCAGAAGCCACATGCATGGCTCCAGGCTGGGGCTGATACAAGGCTGTTGTGATCCCACAATCCACCTCGATGCCCTAGGAATAACACAGAGATGGGTCCTAACCACCTTTAAGTCCACTAGTAGCCAGACGTCCCTCAGCTGAACCTAAAGCTTAAAGTTGATGGGACCCGTCTCCTTCCAAAGCAGGCTGTGGAGCCTGCAGATGGCACACAAGGCTTAGCCTTGGTGAAGAGCCTGCCCTGGTGGTCGGTCGAGCCACAGGAGAAACCTGACTGCCCAAGCATGGCCTCAGCTGGCCCCACTCCCAGCCCTGCCTCGGCAGCTTCCCATATTGGGGTTCAGAGCAATCCAGCTGGCAGGTGTGCTGGCAGGAACTAGATTCTGACCAAAGATAGAAACTCATGAACCCTGCTAGGATGCCAGGTTCTACAGTTTGGGCCAATTCCTCTATGGGATGCCTGTGAGTTCCTTCAGAGAAGTACCTGGGGTGTGGTTTCATTGGACCCAGTTTTGGGGCAAGAAACTGGTCTGACACAAGGTATTTATACCTGTAGTATCTCTCATTTGAGTAAGGCAAAGGACAAAGAGCACAATAAAGGATGCATAGAAGGAGACAGGGGATAGAGCTCTTGCAACCGGAAAGGGGTCCAGAGACAGAGCAAGGGGAGGAGCCAGGGTCATGGGAAACAAGTAGAATAAAAATATGTCATGTCCAGAAACCTAATAACCTCAATGAATATCATAATATGGGCTGAGATTAATAATACCAACAAGAATGAAAATGGGAAAAGAGATTTAGAGCACAAAGGAGGGAGGAAGGGAACGGGGATTTTAAAAAGAAGCTGTAATACGTACGTGTGCCCACTTCCCAAGATGATTGTAAATGGAATGTCCTGCAAACATGTACTAATAAAGAAAAAAAAGGAAGAAAGAAAGAAAAGAAACTGGTCTGTCTTGGGATACAGGAGACAGCCTCCTCCTGTCTATGGAAATGTCCCAAC